TGAATTTTAATCCAACTATGGGATAATTAGTTTTTTTTTTTTTTTTTTTTTTTTTCTTTTCCTTTTTGAATAATGAATTCACTAAGTAGATATAGGATAATATTGGACACCATTTGTAGTTAAAACACTTCAATTTTTGTAGTGGCCATTATGAACGCTTCTATCTGACAGAGGTGTGTCCAATGGAGACTTTTCATAGTGACCATTGTACTTTTAGGTTTTAGTTTCCTTTTGTCATTTCTTTCTTTGGTGTTGCCAGTAGCGCCGCGTTTTGAATTGATGTTCTTGACCTCTTTAGAAGATTCATGATTTACTTGTGGATAGATACATATGATTTAGGGTTAAGTGAAGGCTTAGTTTGATGTAAAAAGGGAGCTCGGTGCATAAAGCATCCCGCATTCACACAGGGCCTGGGGAAGGGCCGCACCCAATGCCGAAGCCACATGGTGATAAGAGTAGTCAACTGACCATCCTTTGTCGAAAAATTGCACCGTGTACATAGATAAAATATTACGTTTTAGAAGCATATAACACATATTGAACACCCTTTGTCGGAAAATTTTCCCTCTTCTTTTAAATATAAATACCCTTGGGGAAATTCCTAGCTTCGCCACTGGCCGCACCCAAGGGAGTGTAATGTAGGCAGCTTACCCTGATGCAAGTATCCATGGTTGATTCAACGGCTCGAACTTGTAACCTATAGGTTACACGGAAACAACATGATCGTTGCTGGTGGTTAAATGTTCGCTTGATGGTTGTCAAGCTCGTTGGGTGCTGATCACGATCTTCCAATTTTGGGTCGTGACATTTGTACATGTAGAACAATAATAACACGGCTATAAAGTTGAACACTGCTAGAAATTAATAAACTGAAATGTAAAACTTTCATATATTTGAATGTCATAAGATCACATTCACACCACACAGTATTCAGCCTAGTTCCTCCATGAGGGCAACAATGGAGGCGAGCATTTATTCTTAGCCTCCAAAATTATTGATATTATTACTAGATACTACAAGTAGAAACATATAAGAAACCAAGTTCATGAAGCAGCTGCAGCCTTTGTGGCACAGTACTTGTCACTGCAACTAGCCATGCATACTCCAAGCTTCTCTCCATCTGAAATATTAAAAAATTAATTAGTTATCATTGTGAGCAAACAAAAGGAATTTTCATTTTGCATGTGTACACACAGAGGTGGAGCTGGAATTCTAGAGAGAGACCATTTAGGATCATGAAGTTCTTGCATTGGCTCAAAGCACATCCAATATTACAAGCATAATTTGCAGCATGAGTTGGTGTTGATGGAGGAGGAAGTTCAATGGCACATTTTGCAGCACAAGCAGGGAGACATATCTGAGGTTACATAATACAATCAATGGCTTTGTCTTTAATGCAGTCAACAATGCAGCTCCCATAATCTCCAGCCATGGATCCCTCTACTAAAATTATTAGCATTAATGCTACACCATCATTTCTTTCCCCTCCATGTTTACTGATGCACTACTCCTCTAGCTAGTCTAATTTTTGGCTTAAATCTTGATGTAAAAAGTAGGGGTTCCAAGGTACATTTTATAGTGACTACTCCTATTTCTTTTAGATTTGATATTAATACGGAGTACTTATTACGTGAACTAACCAACAACAGCTACAGGATCATTTGTATTCTGTGAACCAGATTTTTAGTTTCTTTTGGTATCAACCACCTGAAATTATGCTCATTGCAACATTAAGAAGACGTAAATTCCTGGATGGTTAAATCACAAGTACTTTTTCAAATATGTGTAACAAAATGCAGTAGGAGAAGCTAATATCTATCTGAAAATTTTTAATTTTCGTTATTTCACTTTTACCCGTTAAACTTCAATTTTTGAAAGAAAAAATATGTATGTCTATGATAGAGCTAATAGCACGTTGATTTTCATTATTCGACTTTTACACTTAAGGTCCAATTAATGTTTAATTTTCATTGTTTGGCTGGTCTTTGTTCATCTCGATCGTTCTTGCTCAGGTAATTTGTTTAGGCAAGGTTAGAAGATGTTGAACTGAATTTAGATTTAGATGAAACTCTCCTCATCCGATAGTGAAGATGATATTTAGCAAACACTGCTATTGAGCGAACATTGTATGAGGTAAAATATGTTCATATTTAATGATTGCATGAGAAAGTGACATGTGGAACCGAAGGCAGAAGATAGCTAAACCCGAAGGCAATAATCTCGCTTGTCACCGGAGAGAATGGTACTCATAACGACAAAATTAATGCCGTCATTCAGTAGCATTCAATGAAGAATATTCTACAACATTAAGTACATGATCCGTTACAGAAAATATGACATTCATTGCCCACCGTTACATATCCTTCAATGGTCCTCATAATTGTCATTAAAAAGGAGCTTAATCCTAGGACCTTGTTTCTTAGGTGCAGTTATAAATAGTGAGCTCTATCATCATTGTAAAGGGCACGAATTATCTCGCAAACACATGCTACACTTTGTTCAAAGCTTAATATAATTTTATCTTCTTGCTTTTTGATTTCATTGTTGTTGCGCCCGGAACCTTTCTCCTAGAACTATTATTTATGCTATTTTTTCTCCATTCCAAGGCTAAGTATTGCGTAGTTATATAACTCATCTATTATTTCAGGATCAAATTAATTCACTTGTCTAGATACCATACATAAATTCAACTGTACCGCTTTACAAATAAATAGTTTGGCGCCCACCGTGGGGCCTAGATTGTTGTGTAATTAAGTTGGTTCTTGCCTCTTTTACTAATATGTTTTGATTATTTGTTCTTAGCAAAAAATCACAAAAAATGACAGATAATGGTGTTAACAACACACACAATCTTGAGGCCCAAGGAAATCAACCTCAACACAAGGATTCAATCACTGATACCTGTAGTGAGGGGAATGATACCACGCGGCAGGCGGTACCAACGACATGTCCGGGAGGCAACTCCTGATGATGTTGAAGAGGAGCATGTTGTTGAAGCGGTAAAGGTCCTATAGGAGCAACAAGAGGTCATTCTAGGCCATCTCGCACGGTAAGATAAGGTTATGACAGAACTAAAGCAGGCGTTATCGGGTGCTTCCAATAATGCGAATGGACGAGGTCCAGTCCCTCCTGGTGCTCCCGCAAATCAAACAACGCAGAGGGTTGACAACAACATCCCGAGGGGCGAGGTCATATTCGATGGGGCTGGGGGAGCGGATCAGGTCACAACAATGATAATAATCCTTCCAAAAGCGAACACATACGGTTTATGAGGGAAGTGAATGCCCGCATGGACCAAATCCCGGGTGCACCATCGGTGCTGAAAGGACCGAACTCAAAGAAGTACACTCAATTGCCATACAAACTGAGCGCGACACCAGAATTGATCACAAAGCGGTTTAAATGCCCGACGTGCCGAAATATGATGGGACTTCAGACCCTCAAGAGCATATCACCACCTATACAACGGTGGTAAAGGGGAACGATTTAGCTCCCCACGAGATCGAATCAGTTTTGCTGAAAAAATGCGGAGAGGCTCTCAGGAGGGGAGCCTTGACGTGGTATTCATTGTTTCCCGAGCATTCCATAGATTTCTTTTAGATGCTCGAGAATTCTTTCATTAAGGCCCATACCGGGGCCAGAAAGGTGCAGGCCTGGAAGGTCGACATATTCAGAATTGCACAAGGAGAGTCCGAGTTGCTGGGGAATTTATAACCCGGTTTGAAAAGGAAAGGATATTGCTTCCGGCTGTTCCGGATGGATGGGTGGCTGAAGCATTTACCAAGGTTTTGAATCCGAGAAGTTCCGATGCTTCCCGAAATTTGAAGGAAAACTTGCTCGATCTCCAAGCGATGACTTGGGCGGATGTTTACAGCCGTTACAAGTCAAATATAAGGATCGAGGATGATCAACTATGCTTCCCGGCGTTAGCTAACGGTCGGGAGAAGAATAAAGAAAAATCAAAAGACGATTTTGACACAGATAGACTGTCTTCGAGAGGCTGGTTTTTGCCCTATGAACGGGTCAAAGGATACAACAAAGGTTTTCGGTTGGCAGACAGGTTTTCTACCAATAGAAGAATTGATCGCGGTCGAAACAATAGATCGTTACAGGACAAGGAAACATCAGGTTCTCGAGATCCTTCTTACCCCAGACTTTCAGAATATAATTTCAACATCAGCGTAGCAGTGTTGGTGTCGGCTATGAGGAACATTAAAGAAGCAGGTTCCCAGAGTCGATGAGGTTCGATCCCAGCTAGAGGGATCCTAATTTGTGGTGCGAATACCACAGGACGAACGGTCACTGGATTGGGAACTGCCGGCATCTGCGTGAAAAGGTGGCGACATTACTGAAAAATGGTCATCTCAGGGAATTCTTAAGTGACCGTGCCAAGAACAATTACGGTCGCAATTATGATAACATGGATCCCTCAAAAGCAGGAGAAGATCCCCCGCGCCAGACGATCAACTTGATTTTCGGGGAGAATGAGATTAATAGGGTTACCTTCTCAGCAACAAAAAAGGAGAAGGTAACAGTAACCCACTGCACGAGCTCCAGGAAGTCGCCGAAGACGACATCACTTTCATGGAGGAAGATGCAGATGGATTATTGCTACCACACAACAACGCATTGGTAATTTCTTTAAATATATTAGATTTTAAAATCAAACGTGTTCTGGTGGATCCAGGGAGTTCAACTAATATTATACAATAGAGGGTATTGGAACAAGCCAAATTTACTGGGAGCATTATTTCGGCCATAATACATCTCGCTGGGTTCAACCTCGCAAGCGTGACAACCCATGGAGAGATTCTGCTGCCCACAAATGCCGGGGGGTGGGGGTGGGGGTGATGAAGACGACCCTTTTCAAGGTGGTGGATGGTGATATGGGCTACAACATTATCATGGGAAGACCATGGTTGCACAAGATGAAGGTTATACCATCGACGTATCATCAATTGCTGAAATTCCCAACTCATGAGGGGATTAAACAGATAAAAGGCGATCAACTAGCGGCAAATGAGATAAATACGATTTCGGTCTCCAGTAGCAAAGGAAAGAAGCATGTGGCATATCAATTACAGGAGCCGTCACCTGTTCCTGAATCAAGTGAAGTCAACCAGGGGGAAATGGCGTCAAAATCTTACCAGGTGCCTAGATATTTCCAAGTACTAGAAGAGACGGACGCAACAAAGTCCACAAAGGAAGAGCTTGAGTAAGTCGCATTGTTTTACAAGTTTTTGAAGAGGAAATTTCACTTAGGGACATGACTGCACCTCGAGCTCAGGTCCGGGTTTATTGAATTTCTTAAATTTAATGCCGATTGTTTTGCATGGTCGCATGCGGATATTACAGGTATCCCAACGCAAGTGGCCGTACACAAGCTAAGTTTGGATCCCAACATCCCTCCTGTAAGACAGAAAAAACATCCTATTACCGAGGCCAGAAATAAATTTGTCAAAGAAGAGGTAAATCACTTACTTGATATCGATTCAATCAAAGAGGTAAAGTATCCGGACTGTTAGCTAACGTAGTAGTAGTTCCTAATAAGAATAATAAATTTTGCATGTGCATAGACTGTAAGGACTTGAATAAGGCGTTCCCAAAGGACTTGTTCCCATTGCCAAACATCGGTCAAATGTTTGATAGAACGACCGGGTATGAGTTAATGAGTTTCCTCGATGCTTATTCTGGGTACAATCAAATTAAGATAAACCTGGAGGATCAGGAAGAAACTTCGTTCATAATGAATTTCAGCACATATTGCTATAGTGTAATGCCATTTGGGCTAAAGAACACCAGAGCAACTTATCATCGGCTCGTAAACAAGATGTTTGAAGAACAAATAGGGACAAACATCGAAGTTTATATAGACGATATACTTGTTAAGTTTTTGAATGCAGGTGATCATCTTAAGAACTTTCAAAAAACTTTTGACATCCTAGGGAAGTGTAACATGAAACTCAACCCCGAGAAGTATGCGTTTGGGGTCCCTCCAGCAAGTTCCTAGGATTCTGGTCTCACAAAGGAGGATTGAAGTTAACCCCCATAAAATCAAAGCCATCGAAGATATCCTTGACCAGCTATCAAGTGTAAAAGAGGTTCAAAGACTCACAAGGAGATTAGCTGCTCTGAGTAGGTTTATTTCCCGGTCATTAGATAAATGCCACCATTTCTTTACGCTACTCAAAAAGAAGAAAAACTTTGATTGGACCCCAGAATGCCAACAGGCTTGAGGGATTTGAAAAGGTACTTGTCAAGCCCTCTGATACTAACAAAGACGGAGGAAGGCGAAAAAATATTAATCTACCTAGCAGTCTCAGAGGTAGCGGTAAGCGCCATTTTCGTCTGTGAGGATGAACGTACGCAATCTCCCATTTATTACATGAGTAGAATTTTAATGGGAGCAGAAGCTCGCTACCCGCATCTGGAGAAGCTGGCCTTAGCTCTTGTAGTCCCCGCTTGGAAGCTAAGGCCTTACTTCCAATGTCATTCGATAGCTGTGGTGACCACATTTCCCCTGAATAATATCCTTTATAAGCTA